TTTTTTTTTTATTTAAAAAACTTTTTTACTGAGTTTTAAAAAGTGTCCATAAACTTTTGGCAATCCACTGTATATAAGTAGCAAAAAGAATTGCTTACTAGTTTTATATCAATAGAAATATTGTAACAAATTAAAAACTTAACAAGTCAAATTAATTTTTTAGCAATATTGGAAATAAAATATTATCAATAACATCTTATCAAAATATTGAAGCAAGTTTTATTTATTTAAATCAAATAAGAAACTAGATTTATGAACTTAAACAATTGATTAAGAAAATGTATATTAAGAAAAAAAAATGTAATTAATTAAAAAATTATCAAAGTAATAAAATCCAAATACCTTGATCTTAAAAACAATCAAAGATAAATTATTTAAATATTAATAGATAACTTTAAAAACAAAATAACAATTGATAAAATTAATACAACGAATAACCTAAAAAGAGAGTACTTAATAACAGAAAAGAAAGAAATCCTATATTATATTAAGAAGATATTTTATTTAAAAGAATAATACTAAATAAGTTTTGAATATAATTAATTCTTATCAAATTGAAATACAGTTGTTGTGTTTAAGAATCTATATACTGAATCAAAAAAAGTTTAAAAACAAATTATTTTTTACTTTATTAATAACTAATATCAAAATATTTTAATATACTGTATATAGTTAGAAATATATTCAAATATCTAAAATGTTTTGTAAAAATATTTTGCATTTATGCTCATTCCAGGGATTAAAAAGTCAAGACAACATTTGCAAAATTATATGACAATATATTGATAATTCTAAAGGGATATTCAAAATAATTAATAAACATTTATATAAATGAAAATTTATAGTTTTTGATTTTATCAGTTCTATTGAAATTAAATAAATTAAATAAATAATATTCATTAGATAACAGATATTTATTTTATTATTATTATTTATTAATGTATTAATATAAATACATCTTACTTGCCATTTTTATTAAGAAGTCGACTACCTCCAGTTGATATGAAATTAAAGTGAATGTTTTCATTATATTATTTGCTATTATTTTATTATTTTATTATTTATTTCAATTCAATCATGGCCAAATACTGATAGCTATTTTATTTGGGAATAAATTCTATAGTTTATTTGTATCAAGGGATTTTTTTGTGCCAGATAAAATAACTATATATAAAATCAAAGAAAAAAATGTTATCAGCTTAAGATAATGAAATAAAGTTTAAAATATTAGCCTTAAGAATATTTAAGTAATTTTATTTTTTTTTTCTCTTATCTATGAAAAAAGAAATGATTATCTTTCCCAAAATCACTTTTGCTTTCTCCTACTTTTGATAGTATCTATGCCATTTCAACAAGGTGCAGTTGAGTATTAGAGTATTGAGCTTGGAGAAGAGAAGAAACGAAGAAGGTATTTGGAAAAAGAGCAAGAATATTGTTGCATACAGTATAAAGTTCGGTAAGGGTTTCGAAGTAAAAGATATAACAAGAATTTTCATCTCGGTACCTATTTTGAAGACTATTTGTTGCAAAAGCATCCATAACTCTATAATAAGTTAGCAAATCATGTTGATTAATCCAAGCTTGATTTGAAGTAATAATAAGGACTGAGTCGAAAATTTTCACACTACTAAGTTGCTTCTCGTATTTTGTAATTTCTTCGTTGGAGGCTTGCGGGAAAATAGTTTTAAGTGCCTCGTGGGTAGATACGAAACCTTCAATGTCTTCAGACATTCTAAAAATAATGTAGAAAGAGTAAGCTTTTGTTAACTACAATGACCCGATAGCATTATACTAACTCGTTGGATGAAGAAGCAGTGTTGCTTATTGAACAAGGCGTAATTGCTATGTTAAAAGTATTTAGGTTATATAAAGCGCAAAATTTGATTTATA